GTGGGAAGTTTAAACATCCGAAGCCCCGGCCTGAAAGCCACGTCTTGAGCTCTGCTTCCTTCCTGCGCTTGAACGGACTAGTTCACACAAAATTATGTCAAAAATGCCCGTCTCTGTGAGCATCCTAGTAAAGTAGTTGGTTCTTAAGTGAACATGAACAGCTGAGAAAGAAACCGAACACGAACTGCGCACGACGCAATGTGTTACAACAGTAGAACCCATTATAATCAGTGATAATGTCTACACAGGATGCGGCGCGACACGACAAATCCCTGAAAGTAAACGGATTCCCCGTTCTATTTCTGAAATAGTCCAAGCAATTTGTCGCATCCAGTGTTGACAACTTCAAGCTGCTGCAGTGTAGACATGGTGTTAAAGTGATAGACTCAGAATTCCAATAAACCTGCTGTTGTCTGCGTTTTTAATGTTGATCAAAGAAAATAGGACAAAGAAAAAATCTGGCAAAAAGTTAGTTTTAGGCCCTGTATATATATATATATATATTTATTTATGTATATATGTTAATTTTTTTATCATTTTATTTCAGTTTTAGTTTACTTATTTTAGGTTTTAAACTAAAGAAAAATGACAAGTGTTTCCTTGGCAACTAACTGAAAAAATAAGATAACATTTTTTAAATATTATTTTAGTATTAATGTTTATTGTATTTGATAAAGCATAAATGTTTTTCAGTAGTTTTAGTTTTCCGGTAACCACAGTGCTCTGCTCTCTCTTTCTCAGGCGGCAAGGACGACGAGTACTACATCCGAAAGCACCATTTACCCGATCCGACGCCTCGCGGCGGCAACCTGCAGACACACATGATCAAGCTGAACGTGGATCCGCCGGCGCAGCGCCAGAAGCCCAAACGCGTGCAGCGCGCCATGTCCCAGGACCACGTGCTCTCGCCCGCCCGCTCCAAACCGCACCGGGACTACGGCCTGACGTCGTACAGCGGCGGTGCCGGCGGTCTGCCCCCGTACCACGGACGCATCCTCTCTGAGGAGCAGCTGCTGTCGACTGACCGACTGCACTCCCAGGACCCGCTGCTCTCGTCGGATAAGATGCTGTCCTTGCGGCGCTCCGATTTCCGGGAGAAGGCCATGTCGCGGGCGCTGTCGCATACGGACATGTTCATGCCGACCACACCGGTCATGGACCGGCACTGCAAAATGATGAAGATGCATTCGCACCCCAGCAGCAGCAACAACGAGTCCTACAACACACTGACTGTGAACAGCGCGCAGGTGGGCAACAAAAGGCAGGCGTTCGCCAGCCGCCGCATGCATACGGTGGACCACCTGCAGTATATACCTGGACATCACCATCATCAGTACAGAACCGCCAGCAAGACTGAAGTAACTGTCTGAGAGAGCGAGACAGGAGAGCGAATGATGTCAACAAACAATCCAGCTGGAGGAATTTGCAGCAGTGTCCCACTTCGACAGGTTTCTTTTTTTAAGCGTCCCACCTTGACCCGTTCCCGCTTCCAGCGCAAGCTTTCCACTCCATCAGTTCCGGGTCGGCTTGAGAAGGATCCAGACTTTCTTCTCGTACGTAGAGCAAACGCAAGGGCTTCATGCCTGACGCTGGACTAGAAACCTGAAACTGTTTTTCCAGAACTGCTGCAAAACCTGCACTGTTTATACGTACAGTGAATCAGAACATATATAGATTTGTGATTTCTAACTTGAGTCCTAAACAATAGCGATAGCGGTTGAATATAAACTGATGTAAGCACTTTAGCTAGTGCCTCTTCTCAAAACAAGTCCCGTTTCGATACCGAAGTGGGGAAAGGGTTTAAAAGCACAATAAATGACTGATGTTGTTTTTCTTTCCTTTGTCACATTCCCAGCTAACAGGGATCGTTTTAGAACTTTAGCTAACATTCTGAAAAAGTTATGAACTAATGTTCTACCTGTAACATTAATAGAACATTCGTTCAAAGTTATCTGGTGAAATATTCTCAAAACAAAAACAATATTTATACATCATTAATGGAATGTTTGTTCCTGAAATGTTTTGGCTGGACGTCCGTCTAACATTTTTTAAAATGATACTTTTGAACATTAAAAAAATTCCCATAACGTTTGCAAAATGATCAAATGGAATGTTCCCTTAACGTTTTTCAAGTTAAGCTCTGTCAGCAGCAGTTGTTCTTCCAGTATTGTTAATGGAGCATTTGTTCGACGTTATCTGGTCTTTAATAATGTTCTTAAAACGTTAGCACATAAACATTATTTATACATTCATTTTAACATTATAAAGCATTTATGGAACTATTTTTTTCCTGAAATGTTTTTAAATGCTATTTTTGAACCTCAAAGAACATTCAGAAGTAATGTTCCATAATTTTTGCAAAATTATAAAATGGAACATTTTAGCTGGATGTTTGTAAAACATTTCTTGAATGTTACTTTTGAATATCTGAGAACATTATGTTCTGTCAACAGCATTCATTTAACGTTATCAGGACTTTAATAACATTCTCAAAACGTTAGCACAAAAACATAATTAATACACCATTCGTGTAATGTTTTATGCCTGAAATGGTTTAGCTGGACGTATGTCTATCATTTTTTAAATGTTACTAGTTGTTTTTAGAATGTTCAGAGAACATAATGTTTGAAAAATGATCAAATGGAATATTCCATTAACGTTTTTCTCTATCAACTGCATTTTGTAGTTGTTCTTCCAGTAATGTTAATAGAACATTCATTCAACATCATCTGGTCTTTAATAGTGTTCTCAAAATGTTAGCACAAAAACATTATTTATACATTGTTCATGGAACATTTTTTCCTGAAATGTTTTAGTTGAACGTTTGTCTAACAGGTACTTTTGAATGTCAGAGAACATTCAACAGTAACATTCCCATCATTTTTACAAAATGATAAAATGAAACATTTTAGTTGGATGTTCCTATACCATTTTTTAAATGTTACTTTGGAATATCAGAGAACGTTCAAAAGTAACATTCCCATGACGTTTGCAAAACGATAAAATGGAATGTTCCCTTAACGTTTTTCAAATGAAGCTCTATCAACTGAATTTGTAGTTGTTTTTCCAGTAATGTTGATAAAACATTTTAATAATGTTCTCAAAACATTAGCACTTGGAACATTTGTTTCTGAAACTTTTTGGAATGTTTTCTGAAACATTTTCGTTGGACGTTTTTCAAATGTTACTTTGGAATGTCGGAAAACATTCAGAAGTCATGTTTGCAAAATGATCAAATGAACCGTTTTAGTTGGATGTTCATCTAACATTTTTTAAATGATACTATTTGTTTCAGAATGTTCAAAGAATATTCTAAAGTAATATTCAAAATGACAAAATGGAATGTTCCCTTTCCGTTCATACAACCAGGTAACAACATTTTTAAACATATTAAAAACTGGACACTTAGAGAACGTTCAGAAATAAAAATTTTACAACAACTTAATGGCAACGTTAGCAAAATTCTTTGAAAGTATCTTTGTTAGCTGGGTTATCTCTGTTTCGTTTCTGGGTTTCCTCTACGATACGCCAGTCATTGAGTTTTCAGTGCACCTGTGACAGTGTTTCATTCGGCGTAGGTGATTTGTAAATACGCTCGGTTAGCTGCAGTTAAACAGTGAGTTGGCTTTGTGGGTTATGGGGTGCTTTTTGCATTTTCATTGGTTCCATTCGGACATTTTCTAGCATAATCAACCCACCCAAAGTATATTTGACGACACAAATGTGTACAGTAACGTGTGTGTGTGTGTGTGTGTGTGTGTGTGTGTGTGTGTTTTTTAATCTGTACTTGTAGACTAATGGTGAATAAATTTGGTTGATTCAGCCATTCGTACGTATTGTCTGCTAGTTTGAAATAGGAATCATCTTTCCATTTGCTTTCATGATTGTCTGACACAGCATCTCTAACATGTTGAACAAACAGACAAAAGCAATCGAAAGAATATTGTAATCGTAATCATAAGGAAATGAGCAACAGATAATTAGTGTTGGGTTCGAGTCCAAGTTGAGTCCGAGTCTTTAACCAATCGAGTCCGAGACAAGTCCGAGTCCAAAATGGGCCGAGTCAGACTCAAGTCCAAGTCCCAAACAGTCGAGTCCGAGTCGAGTCTGAGTCCAACGAAACTCTATTATTTATTAGTATCTTAACATTGTTTTAACCTTTACAACTAGAAAAACACAATGTCCATTTAAATGTAACAAAAGGAAACCTCTATTGCATCTTGCCATTTTGATT